CAAGGTAAGTCTTTTTAAAATGAAAAGCTCACCTTCCCAGCAGTCCCCTCGCGCACTTTCCCGACTTAACATTTAACATTTTTATCCTCTAGAAGTGTTTCATCCTTGCCAAAATAAACTGCAAAAAATTGTAATACAAAGGGACTTGGGGGTACTTTTGTACGAAACACAGATGCAGCACAGGGGCAGCACAGTGGCTCAGTGGTTAGCGCTGCTGCCTTACAACGCTACGGACCCAGGTTTGAATCCACCCTCAGGCGACTGTCTGTGTGAAGTTTGCACATTCTCCCATGTCTGCGTGGGTTTCCTCTGGATACTCTGGTTTCTCCCCACAGTCCAAAATGATGAGGTTGGGTGGATTGGCCATTGGAAAGGCAGGGTTACAGAGAATAGGGTGGATCTGGGTGGGATGTTTCTTCAGAGGATTAGTATGAACTTGATGGCCGAATTGTCTGCTTCCACACTGTAGGGATTCTATGCAGCAGGTAATCAAAAGGCTAATGGAATGTCGGCCTTTATTTCACTAAGAGTAGAGAAGTATTACTACAACAGGTGCTGGTGAGACTATATCGGGAGTATTGTGAGAAATTTTAATTCCCTTATTTAAGGAAAGATACTATTGTTCCGTTGCTTCATCAATGACCTTCCCTCAATCATAAGGTCAGAAGTGGGGATGTTTGCTGATAATTGAACAACGTTCAGCACCATTTGCAACTCCTCAGACACTGAAGCAGTCCATGTTCAAATGCAGCAACATATGGACAATATCCAGGCTTGAGCTCACAAGTGGCATGTAACATTCACGCCACACAAATGCCAGGCAATGGTCATCACCAAAACAGACAATCTAACCAAAGCTCCTGGACATTCAATGATGTTACCATCACTGAAACTGCTATTTTGGGGGTTATCATTGACCAAAACTCAACTGGACTCACCACATGAATTAATTAGCTACAAATGCAGGTCAGAGGCTAGGAAAACTGCAGCGAGTAACTCACCTCCTGACTCTGCAAAGCCTGTCCATTACCTACAGGGCACAAGTCCAAATTCTACTGGAACTGATCATAGCTCGTTGTGCTGTACACATTTCAATTTCCTCATACGGGTGAGTTTATCAGCCAAGTAGTGATCAGTATTGGTTAGACCTATAAGTCCACAGAGTAATAAGGTACACTGATTCATAGAAAACTACAGGATAGAGGGATTTGGGAGTCCTCATCTATGAATCTCAAAAAGCTTGTATCACAGTTCAGCAGATAAAGGAAAGGCAAATGGAATGTTCCCCTATATTTTAAAGAAAAAAAGAATATAAAAGTATGGAGGTTCTGCTAAACATGTACAAGGCACTAGTCAGACCACAATTGGAACACCTGTTGAAAGGGTTATGCTCCTAAAGCTCCGAAATCTTGTGATTTAAAGTAAACCTGTTGCACTATAACTTGGTGTCTTGTGACTTCTGATAAGATAGAGATGAAGAGGAATTTCTTCTCTCAGAAGTAGTGAATCTGTGAATTCTTTACCATAGAGGACTGCTGAGGTTGGATCGTTAAGTATACTTAAGATTGAGATAATTTTTTTTGATCAGTAAGGGAATCAAGGATTCTGGTGAAAAGGCAGGATACTGGATTTGAGGATTATCAGATCAGCCATGATATCATTGAATGGCAGATCAGACTCAATGGGCTAGATGGTCTTCTCCTGTTCCTATGTCTATGGTCTAAAGCATTGTACTTGCTCCAGCGTGAGGTTGCTAAACTCATTGGAGGTGGAATAGCCAAACCTAATTGCTAAACTTATGATTCTATACCAAGAGTTCCACACTAATTTCAGCTCAAGCTCTACCCTGAGCAGAATATTTTGCAACATACGAGTGATCCCTATCGTACAGATATTATCTATCACTTGTTCAGAGATGTTATTACACACCACTGGGGCAGGTGGGACTTGAATCTACATTCTATGGCTCAGAAGCTCACTGTGCCACAAGAGCCCTGCATCCATAACCTTTTTTTACCTTGTTTCTTCTCTATATCACACAACTGAACGTCTTTTCTCCCCATCCATAAATCACCCATGCTACCATCCTTGTCCTACACTCATTTTAACCTCCAAACTACTAAATCCCGAAGTAACAAAATTCTAGCCACAAAGAGGAGAACAACTGAATCAGAAAAACAGAACATCCCATTGCTAAAACAGAGCAGTTGTGTGCAACTAAATTGATAGACAGTGAAAAAAGAACTGTACAGCACAAAAACTGGCCCTTCGGCCAACCAAGACTGCACCAACATGTGATGCCTTTCTAAAATAAAATCCTTTTGCCTTTACACAATCTGTATCCCTCTAATCACTGCTTATTCGTATACTTGCCAAGATGCCTCTTAAAAGTTACTACTGTATCTGCCTCCACCACCTCCTCTGACAGCACATTCCAGGCAACTCACCATTTTCTTTGTAAAAAGCCTGCCTCTCACATTTTCTTTAAACTTACCCCCTTTTACCTTAAACCTATATCCTCTAGCAATTGACATTTCTACCCGGGGAAAAAGACTCCAACTATTCATTCTATCCACGCCTCTAATAATTTTGTAAACTTTTATCAAACCTTGCCTCTGCCTTCAACATTCAAGTGAAAACAAACCAAGTTTGTCCAATCTTTCCTTACAACTAATACCCTCCAAACCAGGCAACATTCTGGTAAACCTTTTCAGTACCCTCTCCAAAGTGTCCACGTCTTCTGGTAGTGTGGGAATCAGAACTGTACACAATATTCCAAATGTGGCCTAACTAAATTTCAGTACAGCTGCAACATGATTTGCCAATTTTTATACACTATGCCCAGACCAATGAAGACAAGCATGCCATATGCCTTCTTGACCACTTTGTCTACTTGTGTTGCCACTTTCAGGGAACAGTGGATCTGTACATCTTTGTATGTTGATGCTACTGAGGTGTGACATTATAAACTTCAGAACTTTAATAACTGTTCACAGATTGAAAGAAACAGCAATAACTCCACCTGGAATAAACCATTAAAGCAGAAGGACAAACTTTAGAGGAATTTAAAGCAATTAGCCATGTCTGGGAGAAGGAAGGGTTGAAGCTACATAAACAAAACTGTTGATAAATACCTGCCTTATGCCACAAGAACAACTGATTGCCCTGTAGAAGAATTTAAGAAGTTAACCACAGGAAATCTGTGTCTTCAAACTGTCAATGATAAAAAGAACAAGGAACAAAGAAGCCACTTCTGATCACAAAGCCAACTGTAAGCTTGATGGTTTCAGAGCAGTAGTCAATAATTTGGATGAAAGAATCTAAAATATCATCAATAATATCACACCATCAAAGAAACTGTATAAGACTCCAACACCAGAACTCTTCTTCAGCAGAAGTTCAAAGAACAACACTGCACATGGATCAAACTCTGGACATCAGAGATAGACATTGTTGGTTGGAATTGTAGCTAAATTCCACCATTAATCAGGTAATAGCCAAGTTGAGTTGTGATACTTAACTTTCTTCCTCGAGGGGTCTTATTTTGATTGCTACATGCAATAAAGTTTAAGTCATCATTTAATACTTGATTGTCTGTGAGATTTCTTAACGAGTAGCCAAATTAAAAGTAACTTGTGGTGATTTACCCACAATAAAGGTTTCTTCCATTTGTTATATACTTCATTCCTGCATTAGATCTCCCAAAATCCATCACCGCACATTTGTCCGAATTAAACTCCAACACTGCCATTTCTTCACCCAAGTCTCTAGCCTACCTATAGTTTGCTATATCCTCTGGCAATCCTCCTTGCTATCTGCAACTCCTCGAATCTTTGTGTTGTCCGCAAACATACCAATCAGGCCTTCTACATTCTCCTCCAAATCATTTTAATATATACATATTTTATATTACAACAACGGGGATCTCAGCACTGATCCCTGAGGAACACCAGTGGTCACAAATCTCCAATCCCCTTCCACCGCCACTTTCTGTCTTCTATGACCAAGCCATTTCTGTATTCAGTTTACTAGCTCGCTGCAGATCCCATGCGACTTCACATTTATATCAGCTTGCCATGAGTGACCTTATCAAAGACCTCGTTAAAGTATATATAGACAACATCCACCACCTTGCCCTCATCAATCATCTTTGTTACTTCCTCAAAAAAACTTAATCAAGACTGACAGACATGACATGCCCTGCACAAAACGATGCTGCCTGTCACAAATAAGTCCATATTTTTCTAAATGTGAGTAAATCCTATCCCTCAGAATCTTCTCTAATAATTTGCCTATCACTGAAATAAGGCTCATTGGCCTGTGATTTCCTGGATTATCCCTGTTGTCCTTCTTAAACAAAGGAACAACATTAGATATTCTTCAGTCCTCTGGGACCTCTTGTGTGACTAAACAGGATACTAAGATTTCATACAAGATCACAGCAATTTCCTCACCTACCTCCCTCAGCATTCTGGAATAGATCCTATCATGTCCTGGGTACTTGTCAACCCAATGCTTCCAAAACATCCAACACCACCTCTTTTTCGATACTGACTTGCCCTAGAATATCAACATACTCCTCCCAAGACTCACCATCCAACATATCTTCTCCTTTGTGAAATCCGAAGTACTCATTAAGGACCTTACCCACTTCCTCCAGCTCTATGCACAAATTTCCTCCTTTGTGCTCAAGCGGACCTACCCTTTGCCTGGCTACCCTTTTGCTCCTTATATATGGATAAAACATCTTGGGATTTTCCTTAATCCTGTTTCCCAAAGGCATTTCATGGCCACTTTTAGCCCTCCTAATTCCTTGTTTGAATTCTTTGCTGCTATTTTTGTATTCTTCAAGGGCTCTGTATGTCTTTAGTTTCCTAAACCTTATGTAAGCCTCTTTTTTCTTTTGACTAAGCTCTCAATTTCTCTTGTCATCCAAGGTTCTTCAATGGCACAAAATGGCGGTGCAAAGTTAAATGCTGTGATAAGGATAATTGACTCACTGTGATTTTCTTCATATCCAGCTGTCGGAGCTGCAGCATGTGTCGGAGAATCGTATGCTTGTACCATGACTCCTGAGCTATGGGATTGCCATCCAGGGTGACCTCTGAGAGTGATAAAGAGTCTGCCAGACAAGCAATGTCTTCAAACCTGCATTTAAAAAAGAAATATTCATACAGAAAACCCCATTTCAGATGTGGTTTACATCAATGAAAGATAGAAGCAATAAATTTCTATGGAATGAGAAATGCACTAAGATTTTGAGTTCTGCGTGAAGCTTAGAAACAAATACCATCAGTGACTTGTCAATTAAGAAAGAGAAAGAGAATTTATCCACCGTTGATAAATGCCTTTATGGAAATAGCAGCCATTTCAATTTTCCATGGCAATTTTCTCAGTTACACTGCATTAACTCAATGGGACTAGTGACCCATTGTGGCCATTCACATAACACGATAACAAGGCCTTTATCTAATCACAACCACTTCACACAACCAGTAGTCCAAGCACAGACTGATAGCCAAGGTCCGTACCCACGAAGATGGCCTCAACCATGATCTTGGGTTCATGTCACACTACAGGTGACCCCACCTCACTTCTGTATCTGTAAAATCTTCCTTACATTCCTGTTTGGACGGCATCACCTTGATAAATTGTTGTTGATCTCTCTACCTTAATTAGTTGGTACTGTCTCTCTCACACACACACACACACACACCTCCCCGCCATGGGGTGATTCATTTCATCCAAGATGTTTGTTTATTTGCAGATACATTCTAATTTGTTCAAAAAACACACAATTTGTAGTCACAGTCAGTCAGTGCGGCATCTTATAAATTCCAGCTTTCGGAATAAAACCAGCCTGATTCCAGGTTAAAACTCTGAAACAGATTCTGAACAAGCCTCACACCTGTAATTCAATGTCTGACCTGAGATGTCACCTTTTGTATTTCCCTGCCTGATTGTCATGACAGAACAGCAATGACACTGACTTTATAAACTATTTACTCACCGTCTAACACTCTTGGTCACGTTCACAGACTTATTACTAGCACTCCACTCACACCAGTTATATGATCTTTTGATCTCTATTCCTATAAACTCTGTGACTGTGTGTTCTCCTCTCTCACTGCACCTGAAAAAGAGGCTGCGCTCCAAAAGCTTCTGTGATTTTAAATAAACCTGTTGGACTATAACCTGATGCTGTGACACTTCTGACTTTGACCACCCGAGTCCAACACCGGCACCTCCACATCATTCCAAATTACAGTCAATCTCCATCACTTTGTTAAAGGACAAATCCCTCTCACTTAGTCATCTTTTTAAAAAAAAAATCATTCATGGTATGTGGCGATGGATGGCTGGGCCAGCATTTGTTGCCCATCCCCAGTTGCCCTCAATAAGACGGTTTTGAGTTGCCTTCTTGAACCACTGGAGTCCAGGTGTCTGCCATGCTCCAGTTACATTCACAATGTTAAGAAGGGAATTCCAACATTTTGACTCAGTGACACTGAAGCAACGGCGATATATTGCCGAGTCAGGATGGTGATGGTTTAGAGGGAAACTTACTGGCAGTGGTGTTCCCATGAATCTAGTGCCCTTGTCTTTCATAGACAATAGTGCTAGTGGGTTTGGAAGATGATATTTAAGGAGCCTTGGGCAATTTCTGCAGTGTATCGTATAGATGATACCCACTGCTACTACTGAGTGTCAATGGTGGAAGAAGAGGATGCTTGTGGATGGGCTGCCAATCAAGTGGACTGCTTTTACCTGGATGGCATCAAGCTTCTTGGGTGTTATTGGGAGCTTCACTCATCCAGGCAAGTGGGCAGGTATTCATCACACTCCTCACTTGCACCTTGAGCATGGTGAACAAGCTTTGGGGAGTCAGGAGGTAAGTTATTTACTTTAGGATTCCTAGCATCTGACCTACTCTTGTCACCATGTTATTTAATTGGCTAGTCCAGTTCAGCTTCTGGTCAATGGTAACCCCCAGGATGTTGATGGGGAGGATTCAGTGATGGTAACATGATTGAATGTCAAGGGAAGGTAGTTATGTTCTATTTTGTTGGAGATGGTCGTGCCTGACTGTCATTAGTACTAATGTTACATGCCACTTCTCAGTCCAAACCTAGATATTGTCCAGATCTCATTGCATTTGGATATGGACTTCTTCAGTGTCTGAGGAGATGGTGTTGAACATTATGCAATCACCAGTGAATATCCTTACCTATGACTTACGTTGGAGGAAAGCTCATAATAAAACAGCTGAAGACAGTAGATCCTTAGAAAACTAAGGAAACTTAGAAAGTTATCGTGCATTGTTGGATTTATTCATTCCAAAAACAATTATGAAACTGTACTTCCCATAGTAGAAGTTATCCTTGAAAAGTAAGAAATGTGAAATACAAATATTACAAAAGCAAATTAAATTATTCCCAGCTTATGCTAAAGATTCAGGTTTACAGAATATGCAGGTATCAATAGCAAGGCCTGGTCCTCATTGTCCTTAAGAACGTGGCAGCTTTTGTAACCATTGGAGCCTGTGTGTTAAAATACTCCCAACAGTACTGTTTTTCATTACTCTTTCACAGGCTGAGGGCATCACTGACTAGGTCAGCATTTGATCTTGAACCAAGTGGTTTGGTGGGCCATTTCAGAGGTAAGCTGTGGATCTGATGTCACACATAGGCCAGGTCAGGACAGGACAGCACACTTCCTTTGGTTTCTTCTTCAATATTAACACCTGGATCCCACACCCCTGCTTTGTTAATTTAAACCCTTCCCACCAGTACTACCAAAACATGGCACAAGAAACTCAGTTCTGTTCTGGTGCAAAAGTTTTTTTTCAATTTCAAAAATATACTTTATTCACAAAACAACCTTTGTACATACACATTGACACAAAAGCAGTTTGGTTCTGCAGTTACATATCAGATAAACATAAAATGTTGGAGTTTGACTAAACACAAAACCAAAGACCTCTCATATACATACGATACTAATATTTACATTTATTTGATAAACTGAGGTGGTTCAATAATTTAATGAGCCTAGTCTTGATGAAGGGTGTAAACCTAAATGTCAATTTTCCTGCTTCTCTCATGCTGCCTGGCCTGCTGTGTTCCTCCAGCTCCACACTTAATCCCTTCAACAGGAAGGCCTCAGACTGTGGTCTTTCCCCAAGGTGCAAAACATCCAACCTGTTCAGGTTGCATTACCCAGATCCAACCATAGGGTGCTGAGACATTGCTTGTTCACATTCTGGGAGTGGACTTTGCAGTCAGCGTGGGTGCGAAGGGCATCATGGAAGAACATCCGTGGTGACAAGTACAAGGAAGAGCATCCAACCAGAGGGTGCGGAGACAGTGCTCGTTTGCATTCTGGGAGCGAGGTACTTAACTGGAAGGGAAGACACCTTGATCAAGTTGCAAGTCATCAGAACTATTGAGATCATTGCTGGATCAAGACCAAGATTGGACATTGGAGGACCGCTGGTTGAGCTGACCTGCTTTTGATGGATCTTTATGCTGGCTTCTGCCTAACACCACTCAGGGAAAAGCCAATCCAGAGCTATGGCTTTAGCAACCACCTGTGCCTGAGGCCAGGGAGTCGAGAATACAGCCAGGGTGACTGTGAGAAAGGTGGAGGGAGGATCGCCAGTCAACCAGACATTCTTTGTGGGTTCTAAGCAGCAGATGTTTTCCGCCTGCAGGATTTTCCCAGTGGGGGCTGCTTTGATGTGACATTCAGGAGTGTGAAGCAATGTGAGCATCTCTGAAGGTATTCGAGGAAAAAGGAGTCCCTTCTCCATCCGGTCTGTGGCACCATTGTTCATTCTCCCTGCACAGAGGGGCCGGGTTATGACAATCCATTTGTACAACACCCAGGTCCCAGTAGCAGATGTCCTGACCTTCTTAGGAAGGTACGTGCAGCTTGAAGGAGGCAGCACTGATGTAGTGGACCCCTTCAGAATCTGGACCAGCAAGCAGCAGTCAAGGTGACCCTGAAGGTGGATGCCAGTGGGAACATCCTCCACCTACACGGCAGCTTTGCAATCAGAGGGAGCGAAGGCTATCTGACATACGTGGGGCAAACTAGTGTGTGCCAAACCTATCGGACGGCAGGGCACATGGCAGAAGACTGCAAAGTGACCCCCTGGAGGAAGTGCAAAAAGGAGGGCGAGCTGACTAAGGACTGCAAGGTGTCCAAGAGCTGCAACCTGTTTGGGGAAGCAGGCCTGTCTAAACAGGAGGGCGGGGGCGGGTGCGGGGGGGGGGGAGGGGGGGGGAAGTAGGGGTGCCACTTATGATCCGATGGCTGCAAGTAGCAATGTGAGCTGTGGACCCCCAAAAAAAAGTTAGGTAAGATGCCACCTCCCACCAACAAAGGGCGCCCAGAAAGAAGAATATAGAGTGGAGCCAGCACAAGGGCACAGCAACCAACCCAACCTCCACCAGACAGAGTCAATGGAGGAAGAGGAAACCAAAGAGGCAGGGAATGGATAGCAGTGAGAAACAACTGGAAAAGGAAAACAGGTCAGGCCCGCAAAGCCCCAAAGCAAAATGAAAAGAGGCAGCTGCATGATGGCTACACCAGCAGCTCCTCTGATGACGAAGGTGTGCGGAGGGATGGCCATCAACAAAAAAGAGGCAGAGCACCACGGGGGAAAAGGAGAGGAGCACCCCACAACCTGGAAACACTGGGCTCCCTGAGGAGCCCAATGAAGCCCAACCTCCAGCTGGGGAGAACCAGGGGTACCCACCACACCACCGTTCCAGGCTACTGGGAGCTGCAACTATCGGACAGCCCCTCTGTCAGACTCAGAACCGCTCCCTGCTGGCTTCATTCCCACCCCGGTGACACCGCAGCAGGGCAATCCCTCCAGGGAGGAACAGGACAGATACCTCAGCATGAAGAGTGTCCAACAGTTTGCCCATACAATGGGGATGCAGGAAGTCCCCAAAATGACAAGACCATGGGTGAATAGACTTTGGGTAATTAGACTTTGGGTAATTCTATAAACTTTTAAAATGGGTGTTAAAATTGCCAGTATGAATGTGCATAGCAATAAATCTATGTGATGTGTTTCCACGTTGGCGTACCTGGCCAACGTCAAAGCAGACCTCCTGTTTCTGTAGGAGTGTGGG